AATGTGATCCCTGCCAGGATCGGACAGACATACTATCGGCCCTGGACAGTAACAAAACTCTGAGGCTCTGAAAAAGAGTGCTTCATTACCAACGAGGAAAGGGGATAGTTGTAGGGAGGAACTTCGTCCAGGAGAACTGTTGAGATCTTCAGAGAAAGAAACGTTGTTAGAAATTTCTGGAGGAGTGCTCATTTACCCCTGTGTTTTTGGTGATCTCAGTAGTGTATGGTTCTTTCGTTTGGAGTCAGCCATTTGCCTTAAAGCTCCAAAATCCTGAATGGAACTCAAGCTCGCAACGTATTGCACAGACCAAATGTCCCTCCCATCGCGTCGGAGATACAGTATGGAAGTCGAGTGCATGGCGCAATCTCAATCTGACGTGTAGCGTTGACTGAGAATTTGCTTCGTTATTATTGGCTCTCTTTTGACCTTTCAACCGTAGAGCATGGGTGGAAGGCCAGAAGGAGCCCGAAAGAGCGCATTCTGATTTGGTGAACGGTGAATGCTTCGTACATTAGCCGACTTGTTCCTAGCCGATCTCACCTCCTTTGTAGGCGAAAAGAAGCGCGATTATGGATACAGTAACCAGAAAGTGTGTCGAAATAAGGGGCAAGGGCAGCGGTACAATCCCCTTTGATTCAAAGCAGCAACTGCTCAGAGTTGGTCCGTCCGCGATGCTGATGTTTGTTTTTGTTTATGATATTGTTATTATACGCGGTCAAGATGGCTTATAATAACTAATTATACGATTGTTACCAATTTTTCTGCATATTAATAGGTGGATGCTTTCCCTTCGATTTTCACTTACCGTATGATTTTGTTCTTCCAGTCTTTAATTTCCTAGAATCTAAGGGGCTCTTTCCTCAGACTTCATTCCTTTTTTTCATGTGTTTTTGCAGTAATTACCATTTTGTAATGGGTTCATAATCGATCAATGCCAGCCGGCAGTGCAAGCAGTCGTGGCGGGACCCGCGCCAGCCGCTCCAGCGAAGTGGTGTGACGATGCGCGATATAATCGAGGTAATGGATCCACCTCTGCTCCAATTCATAGAATAGGTTGGTCAATTATCTCTAAAGAATGCACAAACGTCCACGAAAAGTAATTTTCGGGCGCAATGTGGCTCGGGGGCACTCTGAAAAAAGTCATCTAGGACTAAGCCTAAACAGCAGGGACGAACTCCG